CCCCCTTTAAAGGGGCGTAGCGCCACAGGGGGGCATTTTCGGACACATGTCGATATGAACTTTTTTGCTCAAAATTACTTTCTCTATCATCTGTGTTCGTTTCGCAACACCTTTTTGAAACACCCTGTATATTGCGAAACGAAATCAAGTTTCATAATGTACAAAGTAAGTCAAAACTGATACAAAATTACATGCATTTGCATTTAATAAGATAAATTAATACATGCAAATGCAAAACTAAGCAATGAGACAGTTTATTTTAAATAAAAATTCAAATGAAAAGGCAAAAACACAAAAAGTTACTTATTTTGTATAGGTACAAAAAGGCTATTTTGAAATATGAAATAATATTATTTAAAATGCTTTTAACTCCCAAACAAAAACTAAACAGACCTATGTGTTTGAAATCAACTCAGCTACTATCTGTCAAAGTTTGTAATAGAGCTTGTGGAACGCCCTGTATATTTTTTTAATAAAGTAAAATTTGTATGTATAAGATCCCGTATGAAAGATATACAAAATCGCGCCTCGAGAAAATAAAATTGCTGTCAGCCAAATTTTCAATTATCCTCGGAAGATTGATTGCAGCAATCATTTCACTATTTCGTCTTCCCAGTTCCCTTCTTTAATGGAATTAAACCGATATCGCGCGGAAGCGAGTTAAAAATTAATAAAAAGCTTTTTCTAATTAAGATACCATCAATTAGATCCCGTAATTTGTGAGGCAAAAGACGCCTGCGAGGAAAATTAATTGTTTGCAGCTCCAATAATTATTAAGTCATAAAGGGTGAATTGTGAATTAACAGTATGTTAAATGGGGTGGATTTCCCCAAGGGCAGCGTTTATTATTTAGGTGAGTGCGCTCTGATTATGTCGTAAAAATTCCCGCTTTCGAGCTTTTTGATTACCTATGGGGCAAGGGATAAAATATTATTATTTAATATTACAGTTGGTGTTCTTCGATGGATGTTGATGAAATTTATGGAAAAGACGGTCAATCCAATGACCAACATGTGTGCCAAAGGCTGATTCAATTGTCTTAATAAACAGGGTGTCTCATAATTAGCTGCCAACCCTGAACAGGCCGATTCTATGATCAAAACTAAGTAAAAAAGTTCATATGAACATGGGTCCGGAAATGCTTCCTAAGGGCACAGGGACCCATTGAAGAGGGAGGAATGGAAATCATTTTTTTGCAATATCTCTCAATCGCGTTGTGATAAATGAATGAAATTTGGTATACACAGCTAAATTTTGATGAGCAATTTGATGGACTAATCCATTTATTTCCACAAGGTCCATTGGGGTGGGTACGGGGGGGCCCTTGGTACTTTGCGTGTGTAACTTTTTCATCTTTGACTTTTTAACAAATTGGACAGCAAATTCCGTTTTCCCGAACTGTTTTACGTTAAAAAGGTACTCTTGTTTCAAATCGTTATCTTTAACGGTTTCTGAGAAAATCGCTCTTGAATTAATCCCACTTTGGTCAATTTCATAGTAATTTAAACAAAAAAAATTTTTTTGTTTAAATTTAATCTAATTTTAATAAAAAAATAATAATAAAAAATTAAATTAAATAAAAATTAATCCTTTAAATGGAAAAGAGAGGAAAGGAAAATTATTATTATTTTTTTTTGTTTAAATTACTATGAAATTGACCAAAGTGGGATTAATTCAAGAGCGATTTTCTCAGAAACCGTTAAAGATAACGATTTGAAACAAGAGTACCTTTTTAACGTAAAACAGTTCGGGAAAACGGAATTTGCTGTCCAATTTGTTAAAAAGTCAAAGATGAAAAAGTTACACACGCAAAGTACCAAGGGCCCCCCCGTACCCACCCCAATGGACCTTGTGGAAATAAATGGATTAGTCCATCAAATTGCTCATCAAAATTTAGCTGTGTATACCAAATTTCATTCATTTATCACAACGCGATTGAGAGATATTGCAAAAAAATGATTTCCATTCCTCCCTCTTCAATGGGTCCCTGTGCCCTTAGGAAGCATTTCCGGACCCATGTTCATATGAACTTTTTTACTTAGTTTTGATCATAGAATCGGCCTGTTCAGGGTTGGCAGCTATATGAGACACCCTGTACATATACTCTTACACATACTAGTATATACGAATACGTTCCAAGTTATAGCGCTCACTTGAAATAAGAAAAATTAAAATTGCAAAGATATCTAAGTATAATATTTTTTTGAAAACATGTATTTTTTGTAATGAATAAATGTATTTTTAGAATAAAAAATAATTAAGAATAAAATAGTTGTCACAGCAACCCATCCTGGGTACTAGGTACCGCGAGGACCGTTACCGTCGTGATATTCGTGTTGAGCGACCTCAAAAACCCCCAGGTAATGAGTTTCGGCTAAGTTTATAACGAAATTTCCACAAAACTCCAGGAGACGACGTGGAAACCGGTTGGCCTGGGCAGTAGGTACCTCGGAGACCGTTGCCGTCGTTATGTTCGTGTTCTGCGACCCCAAAAACCCCCGAGTAGCAAAACTGAACTCATTTCCGTCAATATTTTCCAAGTTCTAAATTTTTTATATTTTAACTCTTCGAGATGCACTTTTAAAAATGCATTTTTCTTATGCACCGATGCAATTTTAATTTCTCATTGATCACTTAGGGTCATAAACTTTCTGAGCGCTCTAACGAATCGAATGAAAAAAACCGCATTACGATCCATCTTACTGCACAGATTTCGGAGGTTCAGTGTTTCATTTCCTCGACTATACTGCCATAAACATCAAATTTTTAAGCTATTTTTCGCTAATCCAAACAATATTTCGAAGCAGTTTTCAAGAAAATATTGCTTGATACAGTCACAAAATTGGTGTTGCATTCTTGAAGATGTATTCTCCATTATCGGGCATGAAAACAACCCGCTGCAACCTAAAATCAAAAATAACTTTTCAGGCATTTTGCGCTTCTTGTTAAATCTCCGCTTCGAATATTACGATCTCAAGGAGCTAATAGAGCGACAAACAAAGGCCCGACGTCGCCCAAAAACCGTTTACACGTTGTTTACAGTGAACATTTACCTTGGCCAATTTGTCCTACGGGGGTGAGCACCAAGTCCTGAGATTAATTTATAGCCCTTGGGGGCGGCAAACCCTCTGCTAATTGTGTGCCTAATAAAGAGCAAATTGGGGGCCGGTTTGTGGAGTGGTTAATTTGTTGATAACGAGCGGCTCGTTTTTATTTCAAACAGGGGATGATTGGGTTTGCGGGGGGGTTCGGTTCGCTTTGCATAGGTAGCGAGGCGTATTTACATTAATCCTGGACAGTGTTTGATCATCGGCCCTTAAAAATACGGCAATGTGGCGGAACATTAAAATTATAGCGAAAAGTTGGTTTAGTTAGAGCGACTGCTGTCGAAGTTGCCAGTTGCAAAGTGGTTTGGTTTAATAGTTTCAATTCAGGTAAAATAATTAAAAATCACATTAAGCCTATACAAATTATCTAGACAATGTCAAAAATTCACCTTCATACCATCCACAAAATGAGAGATACATATATAGTATAGTAGAAATTTTTTAAAAGGGTTTTTGTCCCTTCTGATTCTGAACTCAATATACAGGGTGTCCCATTAATATTGCGAAAAAATTCAGAGGGAGTTACCTTGACCTAAAATAAGGAAGAAAGTTCCTATATACCTATGTCCGAAAATGCTTCGTTTCGGAGATACAGGGTGTTGAAATTTAGAGAAAATACAAGGTTTTTACTAATATCTGGAGAACCCTAATTCCGATTTTTTTGAAATTTGGTATGTTTGTTAATAAAAACGGTAGACGTCTTCTGACGTAATTATATTTATTTTATCTATTCCAGCGGCGTCCGGGGACTCACTACTGTTGATATTAATAAGTAAACATATGAGACGTCACTGCTTTTTCTTAGGTGTCATATTTTTTTCTAATTATGCGATTAAAAATACAACTTTTTTGTCTCTTTACTTTTTTTGATATCTTGCTTCGTTTTCGACTACCGTACGTAGCTAAAGGTTGCAGCAAATTGTAAGTAATTTAACTTAAAAATGCACAATAGGTAGTGTAAAATTACATTGAACTTCATCTGCAAATTTGTTTAATGTAAATTTGAAATCTATAATCATATTCCAACATAAATATAAAATTACACTTTATATTACAATTTCTATAATATTTTCAACAATAACTATTGTAAATATAGACCGAATTTACTTTTTTTACAATGTACACATTATTAAAAGACTGTTTTCTCACAAGAAATACATTCAATGTTTTTGTTGTTTTTGTAGCAACTGAAATTCAGTAAAACAATTTCTAGATCAAATACTGTAAAATTGCAAATAAAATGGATTACTTGTGAAAAATACAATTCAAATGTAATTTATCGATTGTACTGAAAGCCTTCGTATAATTAATATGTAAAATTATATTTCAGCAACGTAGAATTTACATCTAAACTAACTTAAAACTTTGGCAAATTTAATGTATTTTTTCCGTAAAGCTATGGATATAAGCAATTGTAGCAAGACATGCAGAAATGTGAAATTACATTAAGTACTGTAAATTTACAGGAAAATTATATTGAACTTACGTTTCCATTGCTTATCATTTTAATGAGAAATAGTCACATTTATTTTTGTAAAATAATTGTAAAATTACATCAACTGTAATGTGAATTTACTTAATTACTTTTTCAGTGTATGTACAACTAACGCTGATTTCTTATAAGAAGCAATTCCAATATGTCAAGCTTAGTTTTGGGAATTTAAATTTAAATCAACTTTCTCAGATAAAGCAGTGCAAAATTACAATTAAGGCAAAAGCAGTGTATACCTTTCTGTATTTTTTTTAACTCTATTACGTTTCTGTTTCAGACATGCAGGTTAATGCGAATATAAAGCTGTGAAAACCACTCACCTAGTTAAAAAAGAGCTGACAGGTTTATATACAACCCTTGATCTCCGAGAAGGTCGTGTACTTAGAGAAAGACCCCAGTTTTCAGCTGCAGTACCCGCCCTTGTCTATCTCCATCTCGCTGCGCAGGATCATGGTGTTCTTGATCCCCACTTCGTTGATGTCGTTCTTGTTCGCTATTGTTAAGGTCAGAGAGGTGGTATCGTCCAGATTTTTCCTAGCTATAGTGCCTTTTCTATAGATGCTTTGGTTGTCCAACGTGGTGTTCTATAAAGGAGAAAGATAATATAGTCAGGGTTGGTGGTGATTGGGGTATCTTTTTATAAATTAATGGTTTTTTGTGTCTGTGAAAGTTTATTGTTTGAAAACAAGAAGGTATAAAATAAATATTTTCTTGATTATGTTTAAATTTTCTCTGAACATATTTTTAGACATGAAGCGGTTTCTAAGATGTTTCTATGTAAAAAGGTGTTTCAACTTTATGGTTTCTCTCAGTTTATAACAAAGATCGTGGGCGCACCCAGGAATTTTGGCAAAAGGGGGGGGGGGCAAAACCAAACATTGGTCTAAAGTGAATCGCTGACTGTTTTACACTAAACGCCGCCTCAAGTATCTAAATAAATAAATAATATGCTTATTTTTGTTTAAATTTTTATATTAATTAAAACTATTCTGAAGAAATCACTGTAGATCATATCTACCCGATCTTTTTGATTTTCAACATTATATTTGTGCTTATTTTAAAAAACGGGACACATACGAGTCTGCTCCCATAAATAGAGACAGGTATTTAATAAGATTTGATTGAAGGTTATGAATACAGGACTGGAGAATATTATAGAAAAGTATTTTACAATAAAGGACAGGATATTGCGATCTTATAATACTGTCTTCAGTATTCCGTGGGATAATGAGAAAGTTATAATTAAAAAATCGTCTATTTTAGCTTCGAGGAATAAACCTGCAAATAGAAAAAAAACCTTTGAAATTGTGAATCGTTTTTCGTGCGATAGTAGTTTATTGAATTTCTTGCTAAGAAAAGTTTCAGGTAAGTTTTACATTAACTGTGAAACTTTTATTATCACTGTCAAAGAAAGATTAAAAATTATCCGACTGAAACTTTACAAATAGAACACGTTTTATTTTTATACAACAAATACGTCCATTAACGGTGTCATTATAATGCCAATTTTTCTCCAGACGACGGACGCCTCGAGCTGAGCACTCAAATAAGATATCCTATAATTGCCAATTTAAATGAAAATATGGGCACTCCGGACGCCTCGGGGCTAATTTCGAAAACCGAAAGAAACAATTGCTTACAAATGGCGCCATTTACTTGAGCGATTTCCGACAGAGGGGTCGAGATCTTTCACGGCAACTGGCGGAGTAAATTGAATTAAATATGAGCCGAAAAAACTGCTAAAGATCCCCTTTTAGCCTTCTGTCTCTGTTTCGAGTGTGAAAACCATCTGACTGGTGGAAATTATCTTATAAAGTCAGTCAGGGCGCCTTTTCTTTGTATATTTAATTTTTTCGTTCGTTAAACGTCCAAAAACCAGAGTTGTATCGAATATATTTACAGAATACATTATTCTGTAATCAATTGTGTCTAATATATGATAATAAGTACCTACAGTTATCAATATTCAAATAAAGTTTATGATTATTAGTTTTTTTTCTTTTGGGTGGAAATTATTTTATGAAGTCAATCAACCAGATTTGTAAAAGAATATAATTTACTGAATACACTTTTTCAGAATCACTGTATACCTGCAAAATACGGTTTTCAATATTTATAAAGGAATGAAGGAAAATTGAAGTTAAGAAAGTATAAAGATACTAAATGCCATTGACTATCCGTGATTACAGTGTATTCGCAAAAATTATTTTGTGAAATTATAAGAGGAATTAATTCACTTTTCAAATATCTTTCAAATGATAAACCTTTTTATACTACTCTTAATATTGTAAATATACATATCCTACAAAATACGAAAAATAGAATATGCTTTATATTTCTTTTTACACCTCTGTATTTTTTTCAAATGTGAAAGAGATGATAATTATTTCATTCTTTGACACCTTTTCATTGTCTATTTTATTTTGTTGTTTATCCTAACATCTAAAAATCCGACTTTTCCCGAATGCAGTTTGCTGAATACATTACTCCTAAATATCTGCAAAATGATTACACTATGCAATATTCATAGAAAGTGTAGGAATATTGAAGTTTCGAATGAATTCAGATATTAAGTTCTATATTCGTATTCATGAATCCACTGTATTCGCAAAAATTATTCTGTGAAATTATGAATAATAGGGAAATTAATTCACGTTTCAAATATATTTATTGAATTCTCAATACTCTTTGTCCATTTATTTTTTTCTTTCACCAAATGTTTGAAAACAAGTTTTGGTTTAGAATATAATTTATTAAAAACGTTTTCTAAAATAATCATATCTGCAAAAGAAATATTTACAGAATATTCTGTAATCTGATATGATACAATTATCAGTATTCAAAGAACTTTTATGAATATTAGTTTTTTGTCCTTTTGGGTGGAAATTATTTTATGAAGTCAATCAACCAGATTTGTAAAAGAATACAGTTTACTGAATACATTATTTCAAATATATGCAAATGATACAGTACGCAATATTCATAGAAAGTGTGGGAATATTGAAGTTTCGAATGAATTCAGATATTAAGTTCTATATTATATTCGTATTCATGAATCCACTGTATTCGCAAAAATTATTTTGTGAAATTATGAATAAAAGGGAAATTAATTCACGTTGTAAAATATATTTATTGAATTCTCAATACTCTTTGTATATTTAATTTATTCGATCACCAAACGTTTGAAAACCAGATTCGAAATAGAATATAATTTACTAAAAATGTTTTCCCAAAATCATATCCGCAAAAGTAATACAGTAAGCAATATTTATAATTCATGAATACATTGTATTTGCAAACATGAAACTGCGAATATATGGGGAACTAATTCACGTAATTAACTGGCAAATCTTTACATATCTACACCTAATCTTCTAATAAAATATTTAAGCTTTGAATGAATATACATATTAGGTACCATTCAATATTTGTATTCATGGATACAGTGTAGGTATACGCAAACGTTATTTGTGAAACTGTGAACACAACTCGCTTTTTAGTTTGTAAATGTGTCATATTTACAGACTAAGTTTGTTACAATACAAAATATAGATGCTTTAAGTTGCTTTTTTAACCCTCTCCTTCCTTTTCAAATGTGAAAAGGTCTCTTTGGGTAGAAACTATATTTAAAGTTAACCATCGATATTTTTTCTTTGTGTATTCAATTTTGTAGCCCGTCTAGAAGTCAGAGTTCGATTCGAATACAGAATAAAGTAAGAAAATTATTACAAATAGACGTTACAAAATGAAGAAGTGTGAAGAACATCCAGCATCTTTTATCTATTAAAAAAATTTATCGCATACCTCGTTCTTTTAGTTGTACAGGAGAATATAAAAAAGGATACCTTGAAAACTACTTTAAGAATGGAAATTCTTTAAATTCCTATAAACTGCACCATCCTGTTCGGCTTTAAAGAGAAAAGTTCTCATAGGAATTCCTTTTCAAATGCGTGTACCGCTTCGAAATGCAAAAATAAATTGGTAGGTCAGAAAACAAACGCGATCTAGTTGTTATCTGGCGTAGCAAAAATAGCTGTCCTTTTAAAACCAAGCTTGGTTTCAGCAAAAAAGTCTTTGGTTACATCCGAGTTGTCACGGAAAACGGGAAAACTAATGATGTATTAGGGCCGGGATGCCGGGAATCGGATTTATCACGTTACAAATGGCGGAAACAATAAGGTTCGGAGTATGACGGTAAAATCCTAACCTCTCTGGCTACGTTTTTATGTACTTGTCTCTGTCCTCAATTGGTATCCAGTGAACAATGAGCTTATAGGAAATGATTATTTACTGGTTGTATTTACAGTAAGATCAGAGATTGTCGGAATTTATTTTTTTATTATTACGTAAATTTAGAAATAATTTTTCAAATTGAAATCAATATTGGGAAATATGTAGTGAACATTGGCCAGATTTCGACGCGTTGCTATTAGAGAGGCGATCGAACGTCGACTTTGACCACTTGCAGTTACATAACCAGGGACAAATATCTGGCCAGTACGATTAACGTACGTAAATTTAGTTGCGAACTTAAAGTCAGTATTACACATATCTGCATGTTACTTATCACTGTTATTGTTACCTACTGTATTGTTATACTGAGTGTTTAATAAACACACAATATTTATCAAATATACTGTTGCTAATAAAAAGTCCTACATACAATTAAGGAGTCTATATAACATAGAGAAACTCCACAGTTGATCTATGTTATGCGTAAATGCTATTTTGAAGTTAGAGGTTCTCAACAAGTTTTGTTTGAAATCTTCGCAATTTTTTTTGCAAAAAATATTAACTACAAGCTCTGCATAGTAAACTTAAAAACTGTTATATGTACACATAAAATTCACTCTTTATATTATTGCTTTTTTTATTCTCGATTGAATGTATGTCCTATATTAATGAAAATGTCGAACCGTTTCGATATTGCCAAAGTGGTTATCTAGAAAATAATGTTACAAATTAACTCCTTGCATTGAAGTTGCATTGTAACATCGATATATCTATGGAATTTCAGCACAGCAACTTAATGTGGGTGAGATATAACCAACGAAGCATTAAATTTTATTGTTTTTTCAATAGAATGCAGAGAACGGCCTACTCAATCCTAGACGGTGCTTGTAGTTCGCAGAGTAGTTATTTAAAAAATATTATTATTTAAAAAATGGCTCTTAAACCAATAAATCTATAATATTTGTAGGCGCCTGAATGGAACACCCTGTATTAACTTGTGTGCTTTTTCGGGAGAAAGTTATTTTTATATACAGTTGTAATAAATAAACGAATTAAACCATTTACAAGATTTATCTACCTGTGTGTGCCTCCTGTAGGTCGAATTGAAGCTCGTCTCGCAGTTGGCGGCGGAGAGGGTGTTCCTAGGCCACCTCGGATCCCTGCAGCACAAATAACGGTTGAAGTGGGCTCTGAAAACGCCACTCACGCAGTAGAGTGCCACGGGATTGACGCAGGAGTTCAGGAAGCTGAAAAAAGGAAATAACATTTACCATAAGTGTGTATCTGTACTTGATATCATGATGGGGCATGTCGAAGGGTCTTTACTTCCTAAAAATATAAATGATTTCGTGGCTTCAGGGTGAAATTAAAATGCAAAATCGGTCTTAGATTAATGTGAAGTGGGCCATAAAATGTAAGGCAGCTTTGTAAATGTAAGTTAAAATTTAGACTGTATTTAATAAGATCAAAATTACATTAAAATACAACATTCTGTTTCACCGTTTATGATTGGTGTAATCTTTCACGAGATAGATTGAACCAATCAGCGATCGCATTATTTCTAGCGTAAACATAACTAAAAGTAACTTAAAATTTCAAGTTGTCAATGTCAGAAAAAGTAATTTAACGAAATGAATGTATTTTTAAATATTACAAATGATGCGAGTATCAACCTAAATTGTGTCTGTAACCAAGGGTTGTCAGTAAACAAACAATATTTTTTGAGTTGAAATCACGTTGAAATCCTAAAACCTAGACTGAACAAATGGAAAATGTGGAAATTCTATCTGAAATTTTAGAAAAAGCTCCTGCGGCTACTGTAGGCATCATTCCAGAGAAATCAAAATCTATATACGACAAAGAACTGAAGGAATTTCAATATTGGAAAATCATAGAAGGGGTGAAAGGCGTAAATGAAGCTGTCTTGTCGGCTTATTTTTTCTATTTAAGTGAGAAATTAGCCCCATACACATTGTGGACCAAATATTCCAGGTTGAAGTCAACTTTGAGAGTTTACATTGAAATTCCTAAATACGGAAGACTAGTGGCATTTCTAAAGTCTAAGCACAAACATTTTTAACCAAAAAAATCCAAGGTCTTAGAAAGAGAACAAATCGAACAATTTTTGCGTGAAGCCCTAGACGAAGATCATCTTATGAATAAGTAGATTCTACTGAATAATTTAACTGAGTTATGTTTACTAAATTTGTTGTTTTTAGGTAGCGTTGATATGAGGAGCTTTTGGCGCTTGCCGTTGCGAGGAATTGACCCATCTAAGCATAGACAATATAGAGGACAAATAGGTTATACAGGGTGTATCTTATGTGTTGACTTTAATTTCAAGGGGTCCTTGTCATATTTTAAGCAAAAAAGTGCCTATGAACAACGTATTTTTTTGAGGGCGCCAATAATGAAGTAGCTAGGAGCAACCGTTTCCATGAAAAACGCATTTAAACTTACTTGAGCTGGAAATATCATAAAAATTGAATTAAATCAAATGCTAAAAATGAGAACCACCACTGCCAATACAAGCATGTAATCTTCTGCTCATCGACTGTCGCACACGTTCCAAAATTCCTGGAGTGTTGCGTATGACATTACAAGAATTTACAATTCTGTTTCTTAAATCATTTTCATCTACAACTGGCGTTGCATAAACAAGCGACTTCAGATGTCCCCAAAAGAAATAGTCCAGAGGATTTAGGTCTGGAGATCGTGCTGGCAACGGCTGAGGTCCTCTCCGACCTATCCATCGCTGAGCAAAAGTGTCTTTAAGATGTTGGCGAGCAGCAAGACTGAAATGAGCAGGTGCCCCGTCGTGCATAAACCACATGTCATTTCTGGTTGCTAGTAGTACATCTACTAACAGACCAGGCAATGTTTCAGCTAGAAACTGTCTGTAAGTCTCACCATTCAGTCGAGGAGGAAGAAAATGCGGTCCGATGACATGATCACCAATAACTCCGGCCCACACATTCACCGAAATCTGCTGCTGAAATCCACGTTCTCCAATAACATGGGGATTTTCATAGTTCCAAAAATGATTATTGTGGAAGTTTATGATGGCATCCCGTGAAAAAGTTGCCTCATCTGTGAACAGAATTTTAGACGTAAAGTTGGGATTCTGCGCAGTTTTTTGGAGAAACCATCGACAATAATCTAATCGTGCAGGAAGATCTCTTGGCAACAGTGGTTGCACGCGTTGAATGTGGTACGGATAAAGTAAATTTGTGTGAAAAACCCTCCAAACACTTTGATGACTTATGTTAAACTGTTCAGATAATCTTCGCGTACTACTTGACGGATTAGCTTCCAATTCTTGTAGGATTGCTTCTTGTAGTTGTGGTGTCATTATTGTTATCGGTCTACCAATACGTTCAGCGTTAACATTTAAAGATCCAGTTTCGCACAGTCTAGCATGGAGCCTTATGAAAGTTCTTTCTGATGGAAGTGGTCTATTGGGAAATCGTTCCTGGTAAATTTGACGGGCTTGTGCAGCATTTCCATCTGCTAGCCCATAAATGAAATGTATTTGAGCTTGTTCAACGTTATTCATAGTTAACTGCACACTAAAAGATAGTCAACTGACAGTATCTTGTCACTTTTAATGCCAAATATCATCGGAATTTTGTTATCACAGGAATTTTTGTATTCAACAAAAAAACATTTCTTTAAAATCTTTTAAATAAGGTAGGAAAATCGATTATTCTAATCCAAAATGGCATACAGGGTAGCAGAAAAAAGTTGCGATGGATTAAAGAGGTCGAAATCGTTGCCGGTGGCGCCCTCAAAAAAATACACCTAAATTGACCACAGCTTTGAATTTGTCATTCCAAACAACCCCCGTGTATGAAATTTCATTAAATTATTTCGAATCGGTCGAAAGATATTTAAGAAAATGCGATTTATTTTCCCAACTTTGACACCCTGCATCTCGGTAACGAAGCACTTGCGGACCGATGTTTATATGCACTTTTTTGCTTAAAATATGACAAGGAATCACCCCTTGAAATTAAAGTCATCACTTAAGATACACCCTGTATTTTTTTTTAACCTAGATATTGGACTTACGCGCACTAGGTGGACACGATGTATAGGAAACTGACATTTCATGTGGTAAAGTGTCACTTTAGTAAACGCATTTGAATTTAGTAAAACAGCATATTATCAGTCTAAATGCGAAAAATGGTTTTAAAACATTCCAAAATTTGCTATTAAACAGCTAAAAACTGCCGCTTTGCCAATGAAAAAGAGCGTGCTGTTAAACGCCAAATACTCACCGTTTATTAAAACCAGCTATTCCGCACAGAGCAGCTGAAATCTATTTAAAACTTTAATTGAAGCGGTTATTTTACACAGCGTTCTGCGATTAACTGCAGAACAAAGAAGTCGGCTCCTCTCGCCTGCAATTGTTTGAAGCGAGAACGCCAAAATAAAACGACCGTCCTCGCAGATATTAACTGGAATCAGTTAAACCAGCATTACCGGCAGTAATGCCAGTCTTATTGCTGCGGCAGCTGGATGCCGCCCCAACTTTCCCAATATTTAACTGGCTGATTTCGCCGGCGCAGATCCAGACGTAAAACCCGGAATCCCTTTTTGATGAACCGAAATATTTATTACTGGAACTTCTCGACCGGCGAGGTTTCGATAACGGAACGCAGGTGGCTTGGAGATGAAGCTCCTAAGGCAGTTTTTTCTTGAATTTTGCCATTATCTGAGGACGGATCGGTGAGTTATTTTTTTATGTGTATCGCATTTAGATCTATGGCAAAAAATGGGTGGTCGTTCGGAATTAGAATGCCGGATTCGACGATTTTATTGTAACGGGTATGCGTGTTCAGGATAACTGTCCGGCGAGTTTCATTTTTAGTACAGTCATTGAAGCTGAAAATCAGCTCTAACCTCCGAATTCATTGAAACTGCATGGATCTGCATGAAAATTTAGAATAAGGCTCATCTTAGGCTCAAGTTCAAAAGTGACATAAGCCCGATTGACGCTTTTTGATTTTTAGGGGTAAAAACTATCCCTAAGTGAAAAAAATTGAAAAAATTAAGTTTTAAGCATTTTATTGATAAAAATCTTGTTCAAGCACAACGATTAAATAATGTTCTCGAACATGTTTTATGATATATTTAATCTTTTCGATCTTTTATTTAACCCTTAAAAACTACCCCTATGCAAAACATTATGATAAAAAATTACTTTTTAAAGATTTGGAATGATTAAATCGCGGAATTATTTAAAATAAAAGTTATCTTATAGCAAATAAAAGAATTTTTCCCTTTCAACCCCTAAAAACCACCCCTGGATTGACAAAAATGATAAAAAATTATTTTTTAAAATCTTGGAATGCTTTAACGGTGCAATTATTTAAAATAAAAATTCCCTCATTGCTTATGAAATAATTTGTATCTCATAACACTTTTCAACCCTTATAAATCATCCCTATGCTAAAAAATGATAAAGCTTATATAGTGTTATGAGATACAAATTCCCTCATTGCTTATGAAATAATTTGTATCTCATAACACTTTTCAACCCTTATAAATCACCGCTAAAAAATGATAAAAAATTACATTTTAAATCTTGGAATGCTATAATTGTGCAATAATTTAAAATAAAATTCCCTTATATTGTTTATGAAAGAATATTTTACTTTTGCCATTTTCAACTCTTATATATTAATGTAAAATATTTTTATTATAATCGATTTTTAAATACAATGAGTCATAAAAAAAATTGCTACGCTGGATATAAATAATCACACTAAATTTTTTTATTTATTTTATTTGTATAACATATAATATATAAAAATGAGAAAGCCTATATTTTGCTCCGAAAAAATGTCATTAATTTTACCATAACTCGATTAATTTTGAAGCTATAGTTTCCCACAGAAAAACATTTTAAAGATAATTTCAAGAGCTGTAAGATCGTTTGCATATACAACCTTAAAAGGTTGTATATGTTTAAAATATACTTAAAAGTCCTTCGATTTTTAAAGGGAAAGGATCGAAGGGCTCGAGACAGGTCGTTTTTTCATTAAATTGGATACTTCAAGCGGCGATATCTCCTTTATTTTTTTTGCTATAGGAATAAAAATATTTGTTGAAAAAGAAGCTACATTTTTGTTGTCTATCATTTTTTACGTATCTCATAGTTTCAGAGTTATTATATAAATAAGGCAATTTTTTTTTTGAATAATGAAAAATACGTTTTCAACTTTTACCGTACATTTACCAG